CAAACGGGTTGCACACACACCATAAACGAGCACGATGGATGCGTCGTAGCGTCGGGCTGCTCGCCGTCGCCGCCTCGGTGGCCGCGGCGCCGCGGCCGTCGCCGAACAGCAGCGGCCCCTACTTCGTCCGGCGCTGGACCTGGCCGGCGGCGCAACGCGGCCGCGGCGCCTTCCTGTCGGCGTCCGACTTCGTCGTCAACGGGACCGTCGACGGCTGCGACGCGACGAGCGTCGTCTGCGCGGCGACGCCGAAGAACGCGCCCGCGCGGCTCAGCGGCACGCACTGGCAGCACGCCCAGCAGGTGCTGCTGCCCTGCTGGAGCCTCTTCTCGTGGCACCCAAAGAAGGCGCGCTACGTGCTGTTGACGGGCGGCGTGGGCCTCACGGCGTCCCACCCCTGGACGGCCTTCGTCCTGGACGCCATGGGCGCGACGGTCGTCGCCGACCGGTCCGGCGTCGCCGGAGACTGCCCCCTCGAGGGCCGGCTCCGGCGGAAGACGGGCACGGGCGACGCCGGGTCCGAGATCCTGTGGCTCGCGGACCCCGCGCACGCGGCGGCGCTCCAGGCCGCCGCGGGCCTGTCGCCGCCGCCCCCGGGCGCGGGCCTCCGCGTCGGCGTGCTGAACCGCAGGAGCCACCGCAGGTGGGACGCGGACGGCGCGTTCCTGAATCGCACGCGCGCGGCGTTCCCGGACGCGACGGTCGCGGACGAGGCCTACTTCGAGGCCCTCGCCCCGGCGGCGCAGGCGGCCTGGGTCCACGCCGCGGACGTCGTCGTCTCGCCCCACGGCGCCCAGCTCTCGAACCTCGTCTTCGCGCGGCGCTGCACGGCCGTGCTCGAGCTCTTCCCCCGCCACTTCTACATGCCCGGCTTCTACCTCGCCCTCGCGCTCCAGGCCGGCGCCGTACCCTTCGCGGGCTACGCGACGGACGACCCGGAGGGCGACCGGCCCGGCAACCGGAACCAGAAGGGCCGCTACTGGTTCAACCGCAAGTTCAAGTACCGCAAGACCGACGCGAACCCGGCCGTCGTCGCCGACGCGCTCCCGGCCCTCGCCGACGCGCGCCGGGCCTGCCTCGCCGACCTAGATGGGGGCTAGGGGCTCCGTGTGGGCCGTTTTTGAGTTGCTTGAGTAGGTTTTTGGCGATTGTTGTGGCAGATCGAAGCGCTTGCTTACACCGCCGGAGACGCACCGCGCCGCATCACCGCCCAAGTCCCCCCCCCCGGACCAAGATGGGAAACGGGCGCAAGAGCAAGGGGCACAAGCACAAGGGGAAGAAGCCGAAGCCTGCGCCCGTGGAGGAGGAGCCGGCGGCGGAGAATGACGAGTATGATGACGAGGCCGATGAGTTTTTTCAATTCGGCCTGCAGGTCGGTTTCAACCTGGAACTCAGGCTGGAAGATCCGGCTCAGTTCGAGGAGGCTCTCGCCATGTTTCGCGATACGGTGACGCGGGAGAAGATGTCACTCGCGGCCGCGGACGCGAAGAAGAATTTGTGTGCCGTGATGATGCGCGAGGCGAAGGACGAGGCGAAGGACGACGCCTCGCCTGTCGACGGCGAGGCCGAGCGCCGCCACGCTGGTTATGTCTGGCGAGAAGCGAGTAAGCTCTTCGCCGAAGACGCCAAGGAGCGGGCGGCTCGTGCGACTATGCTCGAGGCCCGCTGCGACGCCGTCGGCGAGAAATACCCCGACCACGTCCTCAAAGATCGCGCGGCGCCGGCGTCCTCGCGTCCAACGGGCGCGCGATGTCGTCCGCCGAGAGAGCGCCGAGCGTCCCGGGAGCGCGTGCGTCTCTCCGCTTCGTCCGCGCGACCGCGCGGCCGGCGAACGACCGCGTCGCACGCAGGCGAAGCGCGGACGGTTGTGTTCAACGGCGCTCTGTCTTATTTGAAACTTGTCGTCCCGCTCGCGCCGTACATCAACGCCTTTCCCGTCGTAGACGTCGGCGCTCCCGCGCCCCGCGACGACCGCTTTGGCGCGCGCTCGAACTCGCGCACGTCGCTTCCGCCAATCGCCGCGGCCCGCGCGCGCGCGTCAACCTCCAAATGCCCACAGGTGGCTAAGGCGCCGTTATGGCGCGCCTTCGCGGCGTTCGTGCAGTCCGACGTTGGCAACTTCGCCTACTTCGTCGAGCGCGTGGACCCGTTCGACGTCCGCTTCACGCTGCCCGTCGTCATGTGCGTGCACGTCATCGAGGGCGGCTTCATCGAAGCCTTCCATCTTCCCTTCGACCAGGAGGCCTTCACAACGATCTTTGGCCGCGCCGTCACGAACGAGGCCGTCGGCTTCTTCCGGGACCACTCGCCGCACGCGGACGGGAGACCTGGAAACCAGCTCAACCAGCTCTACCTCCTCATCGCGGACCTCATGGTCAACGGCTCCAAGGAGCAGCTGAAGTTCCTCATGGGGGGCGCCCACATCGGCTGCGGCGAGTGCGCACGCCTCGCCATTGTCCACCTCGAGCGCGAGAATCCCGTGAGCGAGGACCCGCGCCCTTTTTTTTGAAATTTCCCGCCGGAAGCGCGCGCGCCCCGCAGGCCACGCGGCGACGATCGCGAAGCTGTCGGCCTTACTGCCGCGGCCCGGGGCTGCCTCGCCAACGTCTGTCGACGCCGTCGTCGAGGACATGGAAAAGCTGAACGTCTCCGTCGAGATCGAGCCAACTCGTGAGAGCCAGATTCAAAGTCCCGATCCTAGCGGCGCCTTGTACGTCCTGAGCCTCCTCGACAAGCTCGACGACCAGGAGGCGCGCGCCCGTGCAGCCGCGCCGGCGGGGCAGCAGAACGCCCCAGCATCGAAGTCCTCCGCATGGCGACGCGCGAGCAAGGACGACTACGGTCTGGCGATGCGGGCAGCTCTCGAGGAGCTCGCGGAAAGCGATCGCCGCGAGCGCGTCCGCTCTCTGTAATACGCACCAGCCCCGTCGCTAGGATCCGGCGCCGCGTAAGAGCACCTAACTTAGCCCGCTTAGAAGATGCCGAAGAGCTTCTTGTCCCCGCCCTGGGCCGCGCGGTCGACGGCCTTGAGGACCGCGGCGGAGTGCGCGTCGCCGAAGGCCGCCGCGAACGCGGGCCGCTCCGCGCAGCGCTTCATGTAGCGGCAGACGTTGGGCGTGTTGCCGAGGTTCACGGAGGGGAAGAAGAGGGGCACGTAGTTGAGGTAGGACGCGACGGCGACGTCGCTCACGGAGAAGGCGCCGTCGACGAGGTACTCGGAGCTCGCGAGGAGCTCGTCGAGGACGTTGACCGCGCGGCCGGGCTGGTCGAGCTTCGTGCCGACGACCTGGCCCCGGTCGTTCTCCACGAAGCAGATGGGGTCCAGCGCCGCGTTGGCCCAGACGACCCACTTGGCGTGCTTCGCGCGGTCCTCGGGCGTGCCGCAGCCCGCGTCGTACTTGTCGGCGAGGTAGAGCAGGATCGCCCCCGATTCGAAGACCTCGACGCCGCCGTCGTCGGCGAGGAAGGGCACCTGGTTGAAGGGGTGCGCCGACGGCCGCGGCGCGACCATGGTGTAGGGGATCTGGCGCTCCTCGAGGTACCAGTTGCAGAGCGGCGACCGCGACCCCATGGACCCGTGCAGCGTCACGGCGCGCGCCGCGGCGGCGCCGAGGAGGACCGCGAGGACGCGTCGCGCCATCGCTGGACGCCGGCGGTCGGTGCGCAGGGAGAGCGCTGGGCGGCGGTCGGTCGGTGCACAGGGAGAGCGCCGGTGGCGGCGGTGCTCTCTCGGAGCGCGTGCAGCTCTCACCAACTCACCGCGGCCGCAGCGCTCGAAGCCGCCGGCTACGCGCTCCACAAGTCCCCCGCCACGACCCTCTCCGACGTCTCTCGTCGCGTACTTGTTACCCGGGCGCCCGTCGATGCCGTGGGGCGCCTCGGCGGCGCGCGCGGTCGCCGCCTCGGCGGCGGCGGCCACGCGCCGGAGGGGTTGGGGCCGTCGGTTGCGCGCGGGGCGCGGGGGGCGGCGAGGCGCCTA